CTGCAAGCTCTGCCTCCTGGGTTCCAGTGATTCTTCTGCCTCAGCCTCCCAAGTACCTGGGTTGACAGGTGCCTGTCACCATACCTGGCTAATTTTTGTATTTTTGGTAGAGACGGGGTTTCACGGTGTTGGCCAGCCTGATCTCAAACTGCTGACATCAAGTGATCCTTCCACCTTGGCCTCCCAAGGTGTTGGAATTACAAGTGTGAGCCACCACTCCCAGCCACATGAATTTAATCTCAATTGAAAAACCACAGTTACTAGGGGACAGGGGTTACATGAAGCTTTTTGATCACCATGAGGACTTGAGCATCTCCTTCCTGTGGCCTGGAGCTTGGCCGGTTATTTGTGGAGGAGGGGCATGATCCAACTGGTCCAGCCACTGTGTCAGGTGGGAGCAGAAAGACCGGCTGTGAGGTGGCTGCTGTAGGCAAGTAGGACTGACTCTGGTGTGGCCAGGGGCCAGACAGCCCAGGGGAGGGACAGGCTCTGGCTCTGGATCTGCTCCAAAGACAGAGCCAAAGAAAGGCCAGGCGCAGTGGCTCATGCCTGTAATCTCAGCACTTTGGGAGGCCGAGGCGGGTGGATCACCTGAGGTCAGGAGTTCAAGACCAGCCTGACCAACGTGGTGATACCCTGTCCCTACTGAAAATACAAACACTTAGCTGGGCGTGATGGTGTGTGCCTATAATCCCAGTTACTTGGGAGGCTGAGACAGGAGAATTGCTTGAACCCAGGAGGCAGAGGTTGCAGTGAGCCGAGATCATACCACTGCACTCCAGCCTGGGCAACAGTAAGAGACTGTCAAAACAAACAAACAAATAAAAAAAAAACAGACAGAGCCAAGTGATGCTGATGGACGTGGGCTGGAAAGAGGGATCAGGGAGAGCTCCAGAGTCTGGCAGGAGGAAGAGGAAGAAATGGGTGTCTTTGACTGTTGTGAGGAAGACCTGAGAAAGAGCAGGATTGGGGAGGCATCAGGAATTCTGATCTGGAGATGTTAAATTAGTGACGGCCAGGTGTGGCAGTTCAGACCTGTAATCCCAGCACTTTGGGAGGCTGAGGCAGGAGGATTACATGAGGCCAGGAGTTCAAGACCAGCCTGGACAACATGGTGAAACCCCGCCTCTTTAAAAAATGCAAAAATTAGCTGGGTATGTTGGTTCGTGCCTGTAATCTAGCTGCTCAGAAGGCTAAGATGGGAGGATCACTTAAACCTGGGAGGCGGAGGCTGCAGTAAGCCAAGATGGCACACTGCACTCCAGCCTTGGTGACAGAGCCAGATCCTGTCTCAAAAAAAAGGAGACGGCCAGGTGAGGTTGCTCATGCCTGTCACCCCAGCACCTTGGGAGGCCAAGATAGGAGGAAGGATCCCTTGAGCCGAGGAGTTTGAGAACAGACTGAGCAACATGGCAAGACCCTATCTCTACAAAAAGTTCAAAAAACAAAATTAGCTGGGCATAGTGGTGGGTACCTGTAGTCTCAGCTACTTGAGATGCTGAGGCAAGAGAATCACTGGAGACCAGGAGTTTGAGGCTACCCAGGAGTTCATGAGCTGTGATTGCACCACTGTACTCCAGCCTGGGTGACAGAGCAAGACTCTGTCTCAAAAATAAGTAAGTAAATAAATAAATACATACATATATAAATGAAACACTGTGAAGGGCCCTGCACGCATGTCTGCAATCTGTACTGAGTTCAAACTCTGTCAATACTGGGAGTGTCTGTGCATGGATTTTTGAATTCGGGGTATTGGGAAATCGGACTGAAATCTGTTGCAACCCTCTGGCAAGCTCCTTTCACCACTCCCCACAGACTCACGCCCTGAAACCACACCAGGATGGGGGGCCCGCCCTCCCTCGCCACAGGGGCAACCAACCCACCAAAAACCATTTCCTCTGTGGATGCTTCCTGCCCAAAGGAGGAACCAAAGGCAGGCAGGACAGGGAAGCGGCTGGTGGAGAAGCCGAATCCTTTCCTTAAGGGAAAGGGATTTATGGGAGGTGGAGGTTGCAGTGAGCCAAGATGGTGCCATTACACTCCAGCCTGGGCGACAAGAGTGAAACTGTCTCAAAAGAAAAAAAAAAAAAGACCAAAAAAAGACCTCCTGAGCCTCTAAGAGGTCGGCTGGGAGGTTGGCCGGGTAATTTTCCTTCATCCAACTCTCTCCCTGGCCCTTGCAGCCACCCTCATCCAGATGGCATGAAGCCCCCAGGCTCGGGTTTCTGTCTCCCAGGAGCCGGTTTCTGTTTACAGCTGAAAGGCACAGCCTGCTGCCAAAATTGAGGTGTGAGCTCACCGTGAAAAAAGCACTGAGCTCCCCTGGGAGCTTTGCAAGGCAGGTCATTGCTGCCCTCAATTCTGCAGCAGAGATGGTGGCCTTGAAGACAGAGAGGATGCCTATGGGGTCACCCCATCCAGTCTCACTCCAGCCAGGCTATTGGCCTGTCCCTGCCTCTGTTTCCCTTGCTGTAAAACATGAGTGGCTGTGCTGCCTGCTCCATCCTGTTCTGCAGTGTGGGAAGATGGAAAGAGCCATAGGGATGGACACTCTGAAGTCCAGCCTGTTGCCCATGGTCCTCTTCTGAAATGAGGATGGTCAGCCAGGCCAAGGAAAACAGACCCAAGTTGTGCTTTGGGAGACACAGAAGCCCCCAGACTCTCCTATCTGCTTGTTCATGTTCCTGGTTTAACCCACTCCACAGACCAGGGCCTTCCGGGGGCCATACTGGCCCCAGGGTGGATTCCAGCCTTCTTGAGGGCACAATCCTAGCACTGGAATGCCCGTCTTCTCTAGTGAGAGACCCAGGCGGTGGGCTCTGGCATAGCCATCTGACAAAATGTTTCCCCCAAATAGATGTGCCTGTTTAAAAAGCAGATATAATTCAGGGTTTTAGCAGCAACGTAGGGCCATCCAAGTTAATGCTCAGCTGAAAAAAAAAAAAAGCGGCCAGGCGCAGAGGCTCACACTTGTAATCCCAGAACTTGGTAGGCTAAGGCAGGTGGATCATGAGGTCAGGAGTTCGAGACCAGCCTGACCAACATAGTGAAACCCCATCTCTACTAAAAATACAAAAAATAAATTAGCCAGGCGTGGTGGTACATGCCTGTAATTCCAGCTACTCCAGAGGCTGAGGCAGGAGAATCGCATGAACCCAGGAGGTGGTGGTTGTAGTGAGCAGAGATTGCACCACGGCACTCCAGCCTGGGTGACAGAGGAAGACTCTGTCTCAAAAAAAAAAAAAAAAAGGCAGAGTTAGCCAGGTGTGGCAGTGGGTGCCAGGGGAGACTGAGGCAGAGGATTGCTTGAGCCCAAGAGTTCAAGACCAGCCTGAGCAACATAGTGGGACCCCATCTCTACAAAAAAGATTTAAAAATTAGCCAGATGTGGTGGTGTGTGCTTGTAGTCTCAGCTACTCAGGAGGCTAATGTGGGAGGATGGATGGAAGATGGGAGGGCGAGGCTACAGTGAGCTATGATGTCACTACATGATTACTCCAGCCTGGGTGACAGCAAGACCATGTCTCTAACAACAACAACAAAAAGCAAAAAACAGGAGTTCGAGTCCAGCCTGGCTAACATAGTGAAACCCCATCTTTACTAAAAATACAAAATTAGCTGGGCATGGTGGCAGATGCCTGTAATCACATCTACTAGGGCAGCTGAGGCACAAGAATCACTTGAACCCAGGAGGTGGAGGTTGCAGTGAGCCGCGATTGTGTCATTGCACTCCAGCCTGGGCAACAAGAGAGAAACTCCATCTTAAAATAATAATAATAATAAGGCTTTAATGGATGAGTGCGGTGGCTCATGCCTGTTATCCCAGCACGGTGGGAGGATTGCTTGAGGTCAGGAGTTCGAGACCAGCCTGGGCGACATAGTGAGACCCCCCCCCCCCCGATGTCTACAAAAAATACAAAAATATGCAAAAATAAAAAAGTATCCAGGCACCCCTATAGTCCCAGTTTAGGAGACTAAGATGGGAGGATCTGGGCTGGGGATGTCGAGGGTGCAGTGAGCTATGACTGCACCACTGCACTCCAGCCTGGGCAACGGGACTGAGACCCCGTCTCAAAAAAGCAAAAACAAGAGCCAAGAACGTGAACAAGAGTTTACACTTCATTTTAAAAATGCAAAGAACAAATCAGTATTTACAAGAGGCAGTGCCGTCCCCAGAACGAAAGGAACCTGCGAATTCCACGCGCGAAGTGTCGTTTCCATCAGCCCGGGCCCTGAGGGAGACCGTGCGTGCAGACTGCATACATTCCCCAGAAGGGCGCCTGGGGAGGAAGGGCCGCGGGAAGAGCCCGACTTTGGGGCGCCTGCTCACGCCCAGTGCTGTGGGGAATTGGGGTGGGGGCGGCGTCCAGCACGGGGAGACGTGCGGAAGGCCAAGGAGGCATTGGGGTGGACCTGACCAAGGTGAGCCCCGTGGGAACCGGGGGCTGTCTCCCAGAGCTGCAGCGGCCCCTCCCCCAGATGCGGACGCCTTCCTTGAGATGCAGACCCCCTCATGACGATGCAGACCCCTCCCCGAGACGCACACACCCTCCCGGAGAGGCAGAGCCCTCCTCCCAGAGCCAAACATCCCAGATCCAAAAGTCCCTGAGATGCAGACTCCTCCTCCAGGTGCAGACCCTCCCCAGATGCAGACGTCTTCATTCAGATGCATAAACCCTCCCGGAAATCAGACCCCTCCACCAGGTGCACACCCCTCCACCAGGTGCAGACTCCTCGCCCAGATGCAGCCCACTTCCCCAAATGCAGATCCCTTCCTCCAAATGCAGACCCCCTCGTCCAGGTGCAGACCCCTCCCCCAGATTGCAGCCTTTCCCCCGAAATAGACCCGTTCTGCAGATGCAGACCCCCCCCCGCCCCTCCTGCCCCTCCTGCCCCTCCCTGGGAAGCATCCAAGCCCCACGCCCCTCCCCCTCCTTGCCTCCTCCCTCCCCTTCCACCGCCCGGAGCCCGCCTCGCTCCTCCGCCCGCGTCCCGTAGCCGCCTCGTCATTAACCAGAACGCTTCGGGTGGCGCGCTCGGGATTGGTGGAGGCCAGCGTTGCTCCCGCCCCCTGTCCTGGGTGCGGGTCCACGATTGGCTGGCGCAGGTAGAGCGTCTTCTTGGGCCTGGGAGGCGCAGACGAGGCCTGAGGCAGCGGCGCCAGGCAGGTGAGCTTCGAGCGAGCAGGGTTGAAGGGACGCCTGGCTAGGGCAAGGGGAACGCCGGGCGGGCGCGGGGCTGTGGGGACACGGGGTGGGAGCTGGGGTGCTGGGAGAGCGCAGAGTCGCGGCCGGGGCGTCCTGGGCCAACGGCCGCCGCACCCGGCCGTCTCACGCCCCAAGGCTACTCGGGCCCCGACCCCTGCCTGCGCAGGTGAAGAGGCCCGGGGACCCTGGCGGTCGTGGTGGTGCAGGAGTCCTGCTTCTCCCAGGGGTCTCGCCGGCCGGGCCCGGACACGAGGTCCGGGGCGGAGTGGGGAGAGGCGCGGGAGGCCGCGGCGGGCGGCCGGGACTGGGCGTGGAGGGGCGTCCTCCCCGCCTTCTCAGGCCTCCGCTCGGGGTGCCTGCGTTGACCCGGCTGTGGGTCCCCAGTCCCTGGAAGTAGCGGCGGGGTCGGAGGTGCGGTGGTGGGAAGACGGTGGTTTTTTTTTTTTTTTAATAAGAGGTGGGGTTTCGCGAACAGCCCTCACGCCTCGGTTTCCCGACGCGCTGGGATTAGGGCGGGAGCCACCGCGCCCGGCTGATACTTGTGTATTTTGGAGTATTGGGTCTCTCTTTGCTGCCCAGGCCGAACTCCTGGGTCTCTCTTTGCTGCCCAGGCCGAACTGGGCTCAAGCGCTCCTCCCGCGCGGGCCTCCGCCCCCACCTGCTTGGAGGCACGCGCTGTGTCCGCGCCCTGTTGGGCCTGCAAAGTGCCCAGAGCGGTGTCTGAGAGCGCATAATAAACAGCGGCGGGAACACCTTGCCACTGTCACTGGTCTCTGGGAGTATTTCTCCCAGCTCCCTAGGGCTCCCCAGGGCAGGTGGGCGGTGAGGTCTGAGGTCTCTGCTCTCCCTTTGCAGCTTGTGGTTGGTGTGCCTGGCTGATTCCAGGTGGGAAACTGCTCGTAATTACGTCTTCTAAGCTTCAGTAATAGTATTGCACATGAAGTGCTTGAGGCTCTAATTGCCAATCCTTTGTACGAGGGCCTTTGTAGTCCATCTGTTTTTACTCCCACATCTCCACTGTCCAGAAACATCCTGTGTTTTGGTTTATTCTCATCTTTTCTTGGACACTTGATAGTTATTTGAAACCTTTAGTTTTCTGAAATTATTTCTCTAACAATTTCCTGTTTCTTTACTCTCTTTTTCTGAGTGTTTTGGAAATTGGGGGGCTTGGCTTTATAATTTTCTCATCTTTCTCCCATTTTCTGTTGTGTTCTTTCTAGATTTCCTCTTACATTTTATTCCAGTGTATCTATTTATCATTTTAGTTTGGCCATCATATTTTAAATTTCCCAGAGCTGTTTTTTTTTCCTACATTTGTGATATGTTCTTCATAAATGCAATATCCTCTCATTCACCTGCTTTTCTTTTTTGATTGTGCTAAAGTGCACGTAACATAAAACATCATCACCACCTAGTTACAGAATTTTTTTCATCATCCCAAATGGAAACCCTATACTGATTAAGCAGTCACTGCCCATTTTTCCCTCTCCCAGGCCCTGGCAACCCCTAATCTGCTTTCTGTTTGTATGAATTGGCCTGTCCTGGACATTTCATGTAAATGGAGTCATACAGTATGCAGCTCCTGTGTCTGACTTCTTTCACTGAAGATGATGTCTTCAGAGTTCACCCATGTTGTAGACTGTATCAGTGTTCCGTTCTTTCTTGTGACTGAATAATTTTCCATTGTGTAGATATACCACATTGTGTTGATCCATTCATCTGCTGATGGATACTAGGGTTGTTTCCACCTGTCTGCTATTGTGTACAGTAATGCAGCGACTATGAACATTTGTGTGTGAGTTTTTATTTGAGCACCTGTTTTCAATTCTTTGGTTATATACCAAGGAGTGAAGTTGCCAGGTCATATGATAACTCTATGTTTAGCTTTTTGAGAAACTGCCAAACTTTTTCACAGTGGCTGGATCATTTTACATTCCCTTCAGCAACCTATGAGAGCTTCACTTTATCCACATTCCCCCCAACACTCATTTTCCTTTTTTAAAAAAGTATGAGTATTCTACTGGGTGTGAAGTGGTATCTCATTCGGCTGTGATTTGCATATCCCTGATGACCAGTGAAGTTGACAACTGTGTCATGTACATGTTGGCCATTGTGTATTTTTGGAGAAATTTTCATTCAGATCCTTTCCCCATTTTTAAATTGGGTTACTTCTCTCTCTCTCTCTCTTTTTTTTTTTTTTTTTTTTTGAGTTGTCAGAATTCTTTATTCTGCATACTGACCCCCTATCAGACGTATGATTAGTAAATACTTTCTCCCATTCTTTGGATTGTCTCTTCACTCTCTTGTTACTGTCCTTTGGTGCCCAAATTGATTAACTCTAATTTTTCTATGTTTTCTTTTGTTGCTCATGTTTTTGATTTCATACCTAAGAACTGCAAAATCCAGGATTAGAAGGATTCATCCCTGTTTTAAGAGTTTATCATTTTAACTCTTGTATTTAGGTTTTTGATCCATATGAGTTCATTCTTGTATATGATGTGTGTGTGGTGGGGGTCTAACTTCTTTCTTTTGCATGTGGATATTCAGTTGTCCAAGCATCATTTGTTGACGTGACTTTTTTCCTTATTTAGTGGTCTTGGCACCTTTGTCAAAATCAATTGACTGTAGATGTGTGGGTTTATTTCTGGACTCAGTTCTGTTCTGCAGGTCTGTATGTATGTCCTTATGCCAATGCCACAATATTTTATAGTAAGTTTTGAAGCTGGGAAGTTGGGGTCCTCCAACGTTGCTTTTGTTCTGGAAGATTTCTTTGCTATTTGGGACCCATTGCAGCTCTATGTGAATTTAAAGATCAGTCTTTCCATATTTGCAAAAAAGACCAATGGGATTTTGATAGAGATTGTATCGAATCTGTACATCACTTTGGGAGTGTTGCCATCCTAATATTAAGTCTTTCCATCCATGAACATGGAATGTGTTCCCATTTATGCAGGTTGTATTTAATTCTTTCAAAAATGTTTTGTGATTTTCAGTGTACAGTATACAAGGAACCAGTGCACTTTCTTGGTTAAATTTATTCCTAAGTTTTTAATTCTTTTTGATGCTATTGTAAAATGAATTGTTTTCACAATTTCACTTTCAGATTGTTCATTACTAGTGAGTAGAAATGCAGTGGACTTTTGTGTTGATCTTGTATTCTGAAACTTCGCTGAGTTGCTTATTAGTTCTTTTTTTTTTTTTTTTTTTTTTTTTTTTTGAGATGGAGTCTTGCTCTGTCACCCAGGCTGGAGTGCAGTGGCATAATCTTGGTGCAACCTCCACCTCCTGGGTTCAAGTGATTTTTTTTCCTGCTTCAGCCCCCTGAGTAGCTCGAATTACAGGCACTCACCACCATGCCCAGCTAATTTTTTTATTTTTAGTAGAGACAGGGTTTCACCATCTTGGTCGGGCTAGTCTTGAACTGCTGACCTTGTAGTCTGCCTGCCTCAGCCTCCCAAAGTGCTGGGATTACAGGCGTGAACCACTGTGCCCGGCTGAGTTTGCTTATTAGTTCTAACAGCAGTTTTTTTGTTGTTGATTCATTAGGATTTTCTATACATGAGACCGAGTCATCTTCGAATAAAGATAGTTTTAAGTCTTCCTTTCCAATTAGTATGCCTCCCTCCCCCCAACCCCCTTTCTTCACTAAAATTGCTCTGGAGAGAATTTCCAGCACAGTGTTAAAGAGCAGTGGTGAAAGTTGTCACCCTAGTCTTGTTCCTAATCTTAGGTGAAAAATTTGAGTATGACATTAACCGTGAGTTTTTCATAAATGCCCTTTATCATGTGAGGAAGTTCCTGTCCATTCCTGGTTTGTTGAGTGTTTTTATTATGAAAAGGTGTTAGAGTTTGTGAGGTGCTTTTTCTGCACCAATTGAGACAAACACCTGGTTTTGCCTAATTGCTTCTTAAACAGATGATGAGTATTCAGTTTCTCCTGTATTTTGCTTCCATTTTATACCCTTACTTCCAAAATGTAAACTAGTGCCACTATTTTTGGAGCCCTTTGGGGGTTCCATGATGAAAGTTAGATTGTTCTTCGATGTTCTGCATTGCATGCTTATGATTCAACTTTTTCTGACCTAAGTCAGTTTATATTCACCTAACTCCCCAAAAGGTGTTGCTATTTTGTTTTCTCTCTTTCTTTTTGTTCTCAATGAAATATGCCTTTAAAAAATAGCCCTTTCTCAAAGAGGTATGTGGAAGAGAGTGAATGCTAACATCTGCGTTCAATGCATTTTTTTTTTTTGAGACGGAGTTTTGTTCTTGTCACCCAGGCTGGAGTGCAGTGGCACTATCTTGGCTCACTGCAACCTCCGCCTCCCAGCCTCAAGCAGTTCTCCTGCCTTAGCCTCCTGAGTAGCTTGGATTACAGGCACCCGACACCACACCCACCTAATTTTTGTGTTTTTACTAGAAATGGTATTTCACTACATTGGCCAGGCTGATCTCAAACTCCTGACCTCAGGTGATCTGCCCACTTCGGCCTCCCAGAGTGCTGGGATTACAGGTGTGAGCCACCGCGCCCAGCCTGGTGACCTGTTTTCAAAGAATGCTGGTAGTTAATGGAGTGTGTTGTCAGCTCATAATTGTTCTGAATTTAGGATGGTTCTGGATTTAGGATTGTCGAATGTTCTAAACAGTCTGCTTTATAGTGTCTCCAGATTCTGAAAATCCAATTCAAATTTGCTTACAGTGAATGCCAGGCCGTGTTTATTTGTAGAAGTAGTACTGATAGAATGAAATCATCCTTCAGCGTTCAACTCTTGCCCTTTGCTCAACATTTCCTGGTGTGTCCGAGAGTCCCAGAATTGCCTCTCCTAGAGGCAGTTGAATTACATGTGATAAAGCCCACTGATGATTCAGATTAAGTGGTCCTGAACACAGCAGGAGAGGGTGTTCCCACATCTGGGTTTGTGAGGCAGATTGGAAACAGGAATGTTTGGGTGGTAGGCACAGTG